GCCCGCCTCGGCCTCCCAGAGAGCTACGATTACAGGCGTGAGCCACCACGCCCGGCCTAAACTATCCTATTCTTAATCTCTGGCAGTTAAAAACCAGACAACACACTAAAACTTTTAATCTTTACCAATTTTCAGGACAGTCCCTATGTGACACCACACCCCTGCCTATGCTGGCCAAGGCCCACCTGCAGATCTGTCCCAAGTGTGTTCCTTAAGTCCCGTGACCTGTTTTATAAATGTTTTCTAGAAAAGTAATTCATGCTCAACTGTGGAAAATTCAGAACTGAATTAACAACAAAATAATCTCAAAACCTAGAGGCCACATTAACATCTTGCTTTGTTTTTTTCTTCCAGGCTTTTTTCTAGGTCTGTGTGCTGTAGCAGATACATCATCATCACAATGAAATCATACTACGTACGCAGCACTTGTCCTGCGATTGTCAGCATCGCATCTTTAGCATTTTGTCATTAAACATTCTTGGAAAACACTTTTAATAGAGGCTATATTCGGTGTGTACCTCTAACAAAAGATTTCCTTATTGTTGGAAAATTAAATCATTTCTATAATAATTTTTGGTATCAAAAAAAGTTGTGATGATCATCCTTACATGCAAATCTTTGTTTGCATCTCCAATGATCATTTTCAAAAATAAATACTTAAGTAGAACTACTGACAAAGAGTTTGAATAATTTTTTTATATTAAACATTAACCACTATCAAAGAAAAGCACCCAAAGTGATGGAAATGTTCAAAACTAGACTATGATGATGGTGCACGACAATAATTTACCAAAAAAATAGGTAAATTATTAAAAATCTTAGAATTGTACAATTAAGATGGGGGAATGTAATCATGTTAATTATAACTTAAAAAAGGTTTTTAATAGTTTTTTAGTAATACATAATAGTTGTACATATTTATGGGTCAACAAAGTCGTTTTTAAAAAAGTACCTGATCCCTTCATCCATAAATAACCCACCACTGATATTTTTATGTATTTCTTTCTGGTATTATTCTTTCCTATATCATTATATTTTATAAATTATTTATT